AGGCCAAGGGTGTAAACAGAATTGTTTGCTTCTCTTTTATCTTCTTCCAAATTGAAATGCTGGACCAACTCCCGTCCTGTGCTAGAGTGTTGATACCTGCTCAGTTCTCTAACTTATGTGATCAGATAGTGGTCGGACACTCTGGCCACATGGTCATTTGGCGTCTTACCATCAGACCTTTGTCTGCTTGGCCTTGTCATATTAAGAGTTGCCTTGAGGATGGTGTATAGTTCTCTGCTGTGGATGGCATTTTAAGGGGGGTTACGTTGTAAGTGTCCTGTCAGAACTTCCCATAAATTCCACTTAGTATCTCTTCTAACTTCCTAGATCTTCAGTTATTATAAGCTGCTAGATCAAGGCTGCCTGATATACAGCCTAGAAATGTTACACTATCCTTTCTTCTTTGGACTTCATTTAAAGCCTACAACTACCCATATCTTCTAGGAAGTGAATTAGAGTAATATTCCAAAGGAGAGAACACATTGCTTCTGGAATCTAAAGGTGCCAGCTGTATGTGTTTCCTTCATATCGGTGGGAGGTACAACTTTGGAGTTTAATAACTATACAGCATGAAAAAATAGAATTTGATTGTTTGACTACATAAGGGCTACAGAATTTTCTGTAAGTAAATAAAATAAGAAAAAAAGGTATTAACTGAAGAACCATAAATAATTTCTCAACATGTGGATGTGAGGTTTATGGGAAGGCACCCCAAAGTACTTGAAGAGAGAAGTCCTTATCTTTTTTTCTGTGCAGGATCTATCCCCCTCCTTCTCCTTTATTTACTGTCTTGGCAATGTTGAGAGCCTCTAATTTACCTCTGACTCTTTTTCTTAATCCCATTACCACTCTCTACTGTAAGTAGCCAGAGAAGGGTGTGAAGTCTAGGTCTTATCTCCTCCTTTTCCTCCTTCTATTTCCCTTCCCAGTTGCTGTCCTTTTTAATTCTCATCTTGGTTGAATCTTTCAAAAGCTAAAAGAAAAAAGCTGAAAAGAATCATTTTCCCCAAGCTCTGCATGGGGGCGGGGGGGGGGGGGGGTGGAGAGGGGCACAGCAGGGGGTGGGTAGGAGTTGGCGGTTTCATACAGCCCTTCTTGCTGAGTGTCATTCACGTTCATATGGGGTCTTCTGTGTGCTGTTGCAAGGTCTCAATGTTTAAACCAACATAACCTCTGATGCACAAGTGAATTTGTTCATGAAAGCTTGAGAGGTATTTGAGGCTCTCCTCTAAATGAGAAGGTGAAACTTAGGGCCCCCCAAATTCTTGTCTTAGTAGATAAGATAACATAACCAGAAAAGATTGGGCATATGCAAATTATTGCTATTATTGTAAGACCACTATATTGTCTCTCCTTTACAGAAACAAAAGTAGTGATTTTTTTAACATCGCCTAAGCTAGCAATAAAGGGCCTTGAAGTACTTTTTAGTTACCAACCCCTGCTTGTCATTGTCAGAAACAAATTGAAACTCCTTCACTCATAGTTTCAAGATGTTTAGAAAGTCTTTTTTTAATTTTAGATTTTTAAAAAATAGTCCAAGAATAATCATCTCTCTCACATCTTCCAGCCAAGTTGTCTAAGTTGTCTAATGCCTTTCTGAATTTATGATTCCGTGCATTAACTCCCCCCCACCCCCTGTTAGCCTTGTGTACATAAATGATTCTAGATATGATAAAACAGATGACAAAGAATACAGAACTTTATGACTGAAAAGTCATAAAAAAATGTTGCAATCCGGGTGGAGCAGGGAACTGGAGGGAGTGTGGGTATGCAGAAAAATGTTATGAAAGTATTTCAGTGCGTGATTGGCTAAGCAGACAGAGCCCAGGGTTAAACCAGGGCTCTGCTGGTTAGCCTGTGGCTCACGTAAGTGACTGCTTGGGTAGCAGTAGCCAGTTCAATGGCAGGGTCTGTAAGTGTTGCTTTAGTCAGCCAGAGGTGCTAATGCTGTTCTTCAGTGGCTCAGTTTTCAAATCCAGCATCGTAAAGGTGAAGGTAATATTGGTATTGTTATAAAAGGTATGTTTCGATAAGAGTCACATGGATACATTAAGTTTTGTCATTGTGTTAGTTTGAGTAAGTGTAAGTTGATTTTTAAGGTATACATGACATTAAACGAATCAGATTTATTATATTTTAAAGTTCTTGGAGTTATATTAGATGACTAAATCCTGGGGAAGGATGTAATTCTTAAATTTGTTGAATATACTTGTCAGTCATTAGAATACGAAATTCTGATGTGCTATAGACAGTAGGATAGTATGAAAAGTGTAAGGAAGCTTTATTAGTTATGTAATAGGGAAGAATTTAGTTTTGTATAAGTTAACTTAAATATTCATTGGGGAACATGACAATGACTCTTTTTATGTTTGAATGGTTGCTAAATTTCTAAACACAAAAATACATTTGCAAACTATATGTCAACATTTATAAAAACGGAGATTCTTAGGTTATAGCTTTATAGGTTATAATCACCTTTCTTTCTGGATACAGAAACTCTGAGACTTGAAAAACCTCAACTGGTAATTCCCGTCATGCTGTCAGAGACATGGGGTACCTTAAATACTTGAGATGGAAAAGGCTTAGGGAAAATCTGAATTCACTTGTTAACTTTGAAAAATCCCTGCCCTGCATCTTGTTTAGCAACCTCTTCCTCTGTCTATGTGATCTTACTTTGAAGCATGCATTCCTCTTTGCTCCTTTCCCAAGGGGACATCACTGGAGAGCGGGTGTCAGCCTTGGGTTTTCTTTCCTACTTGGCTTCTTAGAGAGGAATTTGTTGTAAACATCTCTTAGTTCCTTTCTAACTGCTTTAACTCTTTTGTTAGCATTTTAACTTGTCCAGAGTTGCTCATGATTCATAAAAAGGTATCCAGAAGTTGATTTGCATATTAGGAAACAACACAAGAAGAGGAGTTATTCTTTTCCTTAATGGGCCACATTGCCTTTTGTCTCTATGGCCCTTTCCTCCTTGTCTCACTCCTTGTTTTGTTTCTCAAAATCTCACTTTTCTGTGACTGCTTGCATGGATTTCTTGTTTAGTGTCTCATTTCTCTCCTTCCCAACAGTATTGAGACTTGTTCATATTACTGATATCACTTTTTGCTTTTCTATTCTCTGATTAGACAACTGTTACTGATTCATTTCACTGTGGATGGAACTGTTAGAAGTTTCAGTCTTTTAATTTCTTATGGACAAGTGGTATTATAAATAATTTTATGCATGTCTCCTGCCTATATGGACAAAACATTTGCAATGTTTATATATAGGAGGAGAATTGTGGATCAACTTGAATAGGCATTTAAAATGTTCATTTCTCTTATTACAAGTGAGTTGAGCATCTTTTAATGTTATTAATATTTGGTTTTCTTCCTTTGTGAAATATTCATTCATTTATCTGTTTTCCATTGAGTTACTATTTTTAGTAGATTTTGGCTTATGCACACACATTGTTCACTCATAGGCATTCTTTTTTTCTTTTCTTGTTATATTTAATAGGCATCCTTTATACATTTGTCTTCCCAAACCTTTGTCAGTTTCATTTGGAACAAATAACTTCACCAGTTGATGGCATGTACTTTTCATTCTTTATGCTGTAGAATCCTGGCTACTACAAATATGTTTCCTGCAAATATATCCAATGACTCAGATAAAAAGGGCAAGGAGTCATTATTAGCTGCATGGCGACTACACCCCATTCATCAGGTAGTGAAGCATAGTCATCAAGCTTTCTTACAGTATGGCTTGTAAAGGAAAGAGGTCGCATGCAGGTAGCCGCATATGTGACAGAGCCACAGGTAGATGGCCATGTACTTGACAGAAACAGTCAATAATCACAAATAGCAGTTTCCAGTAAACAAAGCAGTAAATTGGAAGCAAAGACTACTTTCTGGATGTTTCCTTTGTTAGGGGTTTAACTGTGTCTCTCCAGTCACATCCCAAGCTTCCTATTTCCAAAATAAACAAACAAACAAAAACACCATTTCAAACACATTTCACACATCCTAAGCTTCATGTTTGCCAAGTCTAAGGCCAAACCACCTTTTGGGTTTCTGGGCTTTTCCTGAATTCTGCTGTTATTTAACACATTTCAGTAAGTTGATGTTTAGGTTGTTTAACCTGGAGTGTCTCTCTACAAAGAAGTTCTGCCTTAAATGCTTTGCCCTATTTTTCATAATCAATAATTTCATTCTGTCTCTGATTTCACATTTTACAGTGCTATCATTTAATGAACAGAAATCACCTGGATGTAATTTATTTTGTTATTATTTTCACTTTTTATATTGTGTTTAATGTCTCTGAGTCTTACTGCTAAATAGGCTGTTTTCTCTTATTCTGAAATAGCTTTAAGATTATAGATAAGTTGAAATGATAAAAATATTCGAGAACCCTAGTACACTCTATACTCATATTCACGTATTCTTTATATTTTGCTCTCATTTGCTCTTTACATTCTTGTTCTTTCCTTCTTTTCCCTTCTCTTTCTCTCCTGAAGCATTTAAAGGTAAGATATAAATTGTGGCTTTTTACCATCAAACATTTAAGAGTATATATCTTAAGATCAGGGATATTCTCCTAAAAGTACAAACAGTTTTCTTTCCTCATTAAATTCTTAATTCATCAGGAATTAATTCTGAATACACTAATGGTAGATATTCAGTATTTTTTTTTTTAGAGATAACCAAGTCTGATTCTCTAACCATTTCTCTGCAATGTTACTTTCTAGCAAATAAGAAGTTTCCATAAGCTCACAGGTCTGAGGCTGGACTGTTCAACTTACCCACTGGTCTGTTTGTCCTATTAAGACAGACCACATTATCTTAATTGCTACAGCACTGTGGTAAATCTAGATACCTTACAGGGGAAGCTCCCAACTCTTCATCTTCTTCAGTAATGCTTTAACTATCACATGCACATTGCCTTTCCATTTAAATAAATCCATTTTAAAATTTGTTTGTAAACTTCCAAAAAATTATTTGGAAATTTAATAAATATATAAGCCATTTGTATTGGAACTTTTTGAAATTGAGCTTTCTGACCTATGAAATTAGCATGTTCTTCCATTTATGTATTTTTAAATGTTTTTTAATACACATTTATAAACTTCTTTGCAGAAGGTCATTGCACATTTTATTTGGATATACTCCTAAACATTTTCTCTGTTTCTGGTACTATAAGTGGTATCTTCTTAAATTTTGAAAAGTTAAAGTGTTTGCTAAGCAAAAATTTCCTTCTCTGTGTGGTTTTTTTCCCCTCTGTAGTTTGAAATTCAGATATTTCACTTCAGTTTTTTTTTTGGTGTTTGATTAGAAAATTTATCATCTATATCTAATTAACAAATATAATACTAATCAATATTACATGCTGTATATTTGTATATTTTAAAATAACCTCAATAATCCAATATTTAATTATTAAGTATGATTCTAATCAATATTATATATTTGAATACTTTCAAATAATGCAAATATATCTATATCTATATGTTTTACCTTCAGTCACCCCTCAATTGATTTATGGGTTATTATCACAGGCATTGATTTCTGTCTTTCATTTCTTTCAAATCATAAGATTGTCCATTGATTCGCCTTGTATTTCATAGCTGTAAAGGCTATGGACTTTTAGGGTCTTGACTTGAAGAATATCAAAACCATTTCAAAAGTCAAGTCTGTGAAGTCTATTGCTCTTTCTCAGAACTCTTTGCCTCAGATAAACTTCCCCTTGATGGGTACTGATCACACAACACCTCCTCTCTCTCACCCTTTCCTGTTTTCATACCCTGATGCATACTGTTGTTTTTCAATGAGGCAACTCTGGGGGAATTTTCTAGAACCCCCGAAAACTTGCTTTAAAAAACAAAAGTTCATGAAATATTTCCCTTCTTACTGGGATTCCACGAATTTCTACGGTTCCCCTTTCCCCTGTCTCTGTGGCTGAGGCCTTGAGACATTACTGGCAAATAAAGTACTTGGGTAAGACATGAGTTATCTGATACGTAAAAACAAAAAAGACTGGGTAGAGAGTGAAGCGTGGGCTTTACTTGTCAGAGTGCATTCCGTGTGCTTCCTGAGTAAACATGTCAGAAAAATCCCTTAATCAGCCCAGCTCAGCACAAAAAGGGCCAAGTAAAAGCTTAAGATAAGAGAGAATTATGACTACTCTCTCGAAAAAGAAAGCTGCGTTTCTGAAACAAACTTCTGCAAGGTTAAAGTAATTGAATTCTTTGACATTACAATCCTCCTGGAAGTGAAGTATTATTTGGTTTCTGACCAGGGACAAGGAGAAAGGACTTAACTTCTAGCTGAGAAAGGCTTCAGCCTCAAGGAGAATTTAAGACTTTTCTCTGCACAAATCCAAAGGATGCTGCATTAGATAATTTTGAGTTTGAACTAGCTCAAAGTTTATTGCATGCTAAATTTATAACAGAAGTTGGAGTGGAGGGAACCAATCCGTGTGATGGGGTGAGGAGAATGACGTCACTTGATGACACCCAGGCTTGAAGGTTTAGGCAGTATGTTTTTCTGTTAGAAATCCCAGGGGCCAGGTGCATAGGAGTCACAAGGTGGCTGACTGAGAAAGAAGACTGGCGGAAGGAAGTTCATGCGTGCACAAGGAATTCTGTTTGCAAAATCTTCTTTCAGAGCTATCTTTCTGATCTTTCAGAATCAATAATATGGGCTTTACAAAGATCAGCAGCCATCTCTTTGTTTGATAGTGGGGAAAGTCCTTCTATACATAGGCAATAGGATTTTTTTTCCCTTTCAAAATTCATTGTATGTTAAGTATCTTCAAATCTCAACCTCTGAGCATGAGCTACTCTGTGACATTTATTCCATCACTGAGTGTTTCAAGTGTTAGTTTTTAAGTTTTTAAGTGGGACCTGCTTTTCTTACTTTTCTGGTATAGTTTCTCAAAGATTGGCAATAATTGTGTAACGAATGTGGAATATATCAAATGGATGTGTAGGCCACATCTTTTTTGATTCTTTGTTGTCCCCACTAGCCAGCAAGTTCCACCTCTGACATTCCTAAAAGTAACCCAGGCAAAAAGCACCACAGCGCTGCATGACTCTTAGGCATTTAGCAAACGTTTGTGGAATGAAGACATGTGTTACATAACTTACCCAAGGTCACAGTGCTTGTAAATGACAGGTCGAAGAATGGGATCTGAACAAAATCCTATCAAGTATCTCTTCCTTGTTCCTCATGTCTTAAAAACGATATAGGCACACAATTGTACACACGTGTGTGTGCATATATATTGAAAAAGAGGGTGCAAGAAGAGAAAAAGAAACTCTGAATTTCCCTCAGAGAGGAAGCACACAGGAAAAGGGCATCTTGCCGTGACGGCAGATGTTGGCCAGGGTCAATGCCAGAGGCTTGGCTTCTGGCCAACTATCAGAGGCCTCCACGTGCCAGCCCTTCCTCCCTAGGCTGGAGTAAGTCAGCGTTAGGTCAAACTTTGGTTTAATGTCAGAATCCATCAAGTGATGAGCCATTCACTGCCACTGAACCACTTTTCCATTCATACTCTCCTGCAGAAATGTGGGTACCCACCCATGAACACATACGCACATGCACAGACATGCAACACGCAAACCCACACACACATTCTCCCGTCTGCACAGATGCCCTCATCTTCATACAGCTCCACATCTCACATCCATAGAGACACACACTCACACCTAGGCACACGTGCATCACATGTACGCACATACACAGTTGTACACACTTGCACTTGTCAGTCTGGAAAGATTCTGACTATACTTTCTGAGGCTCCTGCTGCCCTGAAATTATTTTCAAACACCTTTGCTTGGCATTTGAGGCCTGCCCATGGAGGCCCCTCATGTTTTTCTAGTCCTTCCTGCTCCCCATGTAACCTCTAGTAGGAAATACTGGGTTCCAGCCTGGATTGTTTTGCTGGACAGTGAGGTTGAGTTTGAGCTAGGAGCTCTCCTCCCTTGTGTACCCCATTCAAGGCTTTCTGTCACCACATGTCTCTGGTGGTCTTAGGCAACTAGGCTCCTGCTAACACTTCTCACATTTGCTCCGGCCCTCTTACCTACCCAAGACCTCTCTACCGAACTCCACCTGCAAGGGGAAGCACATCCAAACTCCAAGCCTCTGGTTGCCACCTGTATGCCACATATTCACCTTGCATGAAAGTCACTTGACTTACTTTTTTCATTAAGTCTTAAATCTGTGGAGGCACATTGGTTAAGTGAAGTACTTAGGTTAGCAAGATTACCTTGCTGTGTCAAGTGCTCCTAAAATCATTTCTTCCTCTGTAAAAAAGACTATTATGGCTTTTCTGTCAACTGACAGAATTCTTCCATAATATTTTGGTTCAATTGATAACATGTATTAAAATATACTTAAGGTAGTAATTTAAATGTAAGAGTTATCTAAAAGGGATACAATGCCAAGTCAGTAATTCATTCTGAGGTTAGTTTCCTTGAGTAGTGATTGCCTAGGCTGGTTTTATGGAGTGAGGGTCCCGAGAAACTAGATGTGCAAAAGGTATCAGGGAAGGGCCCATTTATGAGATCTTGTTCTTGGTTGGAGGCAGGAAGAGGCAGCTAGGTTGCAGGCCTGATGTGAGAAAGTTCTAGAAAAAGAAACACAGAGCTGGGAACTGGTGGCTCATGCCTGTTTTCTTCTCAGGAGGCTGAGATCTGAGGATCTTGGTTTAAAGCTAACTCCAGGCAGGAAAGTCCCATGAGACTCTTATCTCCAATTAACCTCCAGAAAACCAGAAGTGGTGCTGTGGCTCAAAGTGATAAAATGCTAGCCTTGAGCAAAAATTGCTCAGGGATGGTGCTCAGGCCCCAAGTTCAAGCTCCAAAACTGACAGACCCCCTTCTCCCCCCCCCAAAAAAAAGTAAGAATGGAGCACAGAGTAGGGAAGAAACAGAAATAAATATATAAGAGTTAAAGTGAGCTGAGCACCCGTGGCTCACACCTGTAATCCTAGTTACTCAGGAGGCTGAGATGTGAGGATCACAGTTTAAAGCCAGCCCGGGCAGAAAAGTCTGTGAGACTCTTATCTACAATAAACCACTCGAAAACCGGAAGTGGTACTGTGGCTCAAGTGGTAGAGTGCTGGCCTTGAGCTGAAGAGCGCAGGGACAGCACCCAAGCCCAGTGTTCAAGCCCCACAACCGACAAAAAAGAAAAAAAGAAAAAAAAAGAGTTAAAGTGATCCATTTCTCTTAATTCCTGATATTTTCTTTTGGCATAATGTATTTCTTTTGGCATAATATATTAAGCCAAAGGATCAAAACCAATTGAAGTTAGGCGAAAGTATTCTCATTATACCTTCTATACCTTTGTTAAAATACATATCATCTTTTCAGAGATTTCCTTCCTTCTTCCCTCCCTCCCTCCCTTCTCTCCTTCCCTTCCCTTCCCTCCCTCCCTCCCTCCCTCCCTCCTTCCTTCCTTCCTTCCTTCCTTTTGGCTCTATATCTGTTATTTTTAAAATGAAGCTCTCATATGAATAGCCTATCAGTTTTCTATAAGCTACATGGATTATGGATTTTTAAAACAGAAATGTCTATTCAAGTGAAAAAAGGTATTATTACTATTTTATTGTTTTTGAATTCTGCGGAAGCTTCGTGTTGAGGCCGATGGGACATCTTACATGCATTGCTTTGATGTGTCTATTATTTATTTCTGTATCAGCAGGAGCTTTTCCTGGGGATTCTCTAGTTTCTGGCTCAGGGATTCTTGGCAGTTCAGGCACTGTGTCAAACTGAGTGGACTCGGCTTTGCTGTTTCAGTTCAACATGTAGATTTACCTTTGAAGGCTTAAAAACATCCAAAGGGGTGGGGGGGAGAAAAGAAAGGAATCATTTTTTTTCCCCTCCTACTTCTTAGTCCAATTACCTAGTAAAGATTCATCATGCCTTTGTCTGAGGAGCTCTGTGACCTGATTTTGCTCCTTGCTGCGGGTATCACAACCCATTTTAATGCATTCTGCTTCCCTAATGAAATCCACATGTCTTAAATCAATAAAGCCATTGTTTAGCTTTTCTTCTCTCTCTCTTTTTTCTGCAGTGCCTTTTTGCCTCGTCTATTTTGTTTGCATACTTGTTTGTAGGAAATATAGCTCTTTATCTAGAATCTTCTT